CTCTTAGTTCTTTTATATTTTATGCCCATACATGTCAAGATGACAATACACAATAGTTAAACAGAACTTTTCTAGTCCTATAGAGCAACATATTTGCTGTTCCAATGTAAAAGACACATCATATGAAGCAAATACTTTTTGTTGTGAGGCGGACATGATCGGTTCCTTTAAATGGGTATTATACTTACTCCTATGAAACTTTTCAAAAAAGAGCATTACGTTCTTTTTTCAAGAAATCAACAATTAAGTGTAATAGAGATGAAATTATTTTTTCACCTAATCGAACTTTTAGATTTTATATAATTAGTGATTCAAATTTCATTTGTGTCAAGTCACATATTTACTTGGCTATTGCCAATCCAGAGAATATATCAATGGTCTCATACAGTCACAAACACTAAAGAATAGAGTCTATAACCACATTAATATTTTCCAGTTACAAAATATTCAATGATATTGAGTGGAGGATTTTTTTATTTTTTTCTTTCGAAGAAAGTGCCCAAAGAAGAAAGGGAACATCACTAAAAACTTTAATTAAGAGGCTGTTGTTCACGATTGCCCCGTAATATAAAACAAATATTAGTATGAAAGGGAAAACCTTTGTAAGTGTCTCGTAAGAGTATGCAAAGTTAGTGTCAAACGGCATTTGCAGTTGGGAGTTTTAGAATGCAATGTGTATGCACCCGTCTTAACCTTCCTTCTTGGCAAGTTTGGTCGATTGCAGTTTGGGCGTAAGAAGAAGCAGAAGGGCACAAAGTGCAGAGAAATTAAGATTTCCAGGAGGTTTGAATGTGCGTTTTCCATAAGTTACAGTATGTAACGGTAGCCGTAATTAATAGACGACGGNTACGGTTAAGGAAAAGATAATGTAATAAATTTTTAAAAGAGGTGACTACTGGATTTTTTAGTAGAGCTACGTTATTTAAAAGGTACAAAAAAACAAAATTCTAAGAAAAAAGATAAATAGAAAACTTGGCGTAAGAGAATGCCACATCAGCTTGGCTATGGCCCTGCATCTATTGGATCATAAATGTCCCCAACGATATTTTTTGAATTAAAAATACCTCGAGCACCAACGTTTGACTAGTTGACCAGGTGGGACATTACTTCATCCGTTTTAATTTATGTGAACCTATTTCTTTTTTGGTCTATTTCAAAAAGAATGCCCACTTTCTAAATTTGGAAATAATTTAGCTTAAAATTATAATTTTACCCTTAATGAGAAGCTTTTAAAATCACACAAATACTCTGAGCCCCTTTTTGACTTATTTAGGACCACAAATTTCAAAAGTCTTCATTTATTTCTTAAATTTCGTACCCAATCAAACAAGTTCACATAAATTGAAACGGAGGGAGTATTACAAAGTCATGTGGTACTCTTTTATTGGTCCGCATAAAAGGATCATACTATATTATAAGTGGTAGTCCAAAGTGTAACATTGAAAGACCAAAATAGACATCAAAAGCAGAACGACTGTTTTGCCCTTCAAGCAACCATTATTTCAGAAGAAAATTTGACCAAAGACGTAAATATACATTCCAATATTTATTGAAAATGTGTAATTTATGTCAACTCAATGATAAAGTTTCTTTTCATCAATCACCACAATGAATCGGTATTAATTCCTATAGTGACACTTAATTGCTATCTAACACTACTAAAAAACAGTTGATTTTCGACTGAAAATTTTTAATCGGAAAAATTAGTCGGAAATTTTCGACTGATTCGGTCAAAATTTTTAAAAATAATATTTGTTATTTTTTTTAATTGTTTCGACTTTTTTTCCGAAAACATTGGTCGCAACTTTTGGCGCAAAAAACCGGGATAAAAAATTGCGACGGATTCAGTCGGAAACGAAAAGTCATACTATTTTGTTTGACTATTTGCGACCGAAACGGACGCAAAATTATTTAAAATTTTGGTCAACTTATTTTTTTAAATTTGCGACTGAAATAGTCGATATTTGTGCAACGGAATCAGTCGCAAACTTCTTTTAAAATCCCCAACCCCGCCTCCAATTTTTTCTTCTTCTCTTTTCTTTCTTTCTTCTCTCTTCTTCCTCCATTNTAAATCTTAAAAATCACATTAGGAATCCATTTTAGGAATCTTGCCTCTAGGTTTTAGATACTTTTTAATTCTTAGAATTTTCCTAGGAATCTTGCCTCGGGGTTTCATACCCTCAAGACCAGATTTAAGACTGTTACTTACCTCAACATCGTAGAATCCTACTGCGGAATGCCCTTTCCTATCGAATCGGCCTCCAAATACACCGAATCTAGTCACAAACAGTACAACACCATTACAATAGGTTTAAGGGATCAATCCCACAAGAAATCTATCAAATTAGAAACAAAAATCCGAATTCGGCTCAACCCGCCCCCCCAGGCCCACGTCTCGAAACTCGACAAAAATTACAAAACTGGAAAGCCTATTCACTCACGAGTCTAACCATACTAAATTTATCAAAGTCCGACCTCAATTGCCCCTCCAAAACCTCAAAATTCACTCTCCAATTCCCAAGCCCTAAATCCCCAAATTTCCAACTCTAATCCCTAATTAAATGATGAACAAAGCCATAGATTCATGAAAATTAGACCAATACGGGTTAGAATCACTTACTCCAACGTTCTCCTTGATAATCTTTGAATAGGCACCTCTCTCCCAAGCTCCTCAAGCCAAAAAATTGAAATTGAAAGTCTCAAAATCGAGTTGATGTTTTTCTGCCAGGAAATTCTACTCATGCGGACCCTTAAACGCATCTGCGACGTCGCATCTGCGAAAAATTCATCGCAGATGCAGATTTCACTTAAAAATCCAAGCACTGCTCCTGCGGTCCCACAACCGCATCTGCGCCTCTCGCATGTGCAGAAATCCATCGCACCTGCGGCTCCGTCTCGCACCTCTCCTAGTTGCCCGCATCTGCGACTCTCGCAGGTGCTGGGAAATTTTCGCACCTGCGGAATCTGCCCAACTCCTTCTTGGTCGATTTGTGGCTCCTCATTCGCTCATGCGGGCTCGCACCTGCAGTTCCCACTCCACAGCTTCAACTACATTTTCCCTAACTCCAAATACTCTGATAGCCACCCAGAATCACCCCGAGACCCTCGGGACCTCAACCAAACATACCAATAAGTCATATAACCCCTTACAAACTTAGTCAAACCTTCGAATCGCCCAAAACAA